CTTCTTGAGCATGTGATCAGCTGGTTTTGGTTGTCAGCAGCAAACTGGTTGATCCACTCTGAGACGGTGTTATTTAAGAGACTGAGCTGAATACAGCACCTCAGACTGAGGAAGTCTCTCGGATGAGAGACGAAACGTTTCTACATTTTTTTGTTGAATTGCTTTGTTTTTTTTTTTTGTTGTTGTTTTTTAATGTCCAGAGGACCAGATTTAACTTTTTTAGATTTTTCTACCTGGATTATTGAGCATGCATCAGGATACCTTCCCACATTCTTGCAGTGTTCTAAACTCTCAAACCTACATCATTTTAACAACATAAGTAAAGTAGCTACTAAATTTTACTTAACTCTGCAGAACAGCAGCGGCTCTCGGTTCGGGTCCGATTGTTCAATTCAACTCAGTTTGTTTCTGCAGACATACCCTGCAGCGACGAAGCCCACAATCAATGTTGTCAATTCTTAAACGTACTAAATTTAACAACATACTTATATGTTGCTAATAAATTTTACTTACCAGCGCATCCCGCTCAGAGGTCCGTGTGGGTCGGCTAACTCTCAAGATTCACCAATGGGTCTGGAGGTCTGGTTCTGCTCCGGTTCTTCTCGGGTTTGGTGGGTTCCATGCGGCTCTTTCTGCATCTGCTGGGTGCCGAAGTCACTGTAATAAGCGCCAAACATTTACGATCAGATCAAAACTTTCCCTCTAGTTGTTTAGCAGAAGGGAACAAGGCTTCTGGGCAGGGCCCTGTTGACTTCTGGGAAATGTCATTAAGAGTGGGAATACAGTGTAGGTTTAGTGAGAGAAAACTACTAAAATAGTGGCGCCTGTCCAAAGTGTTTTTTCATTAACCTTTTACTGTACAGTACTGGATACAGTACTGTTTCAATCATGTGAGTAATATTAAAGTTGATAATCGTGTCCTGTACAATTTTCATTCAACCTTTATTTAGACAGGTAAATCCCATTGAGCCTTGAGGACTCATTTACAAGAGAGACCTGATTTCAACAAAGAATGATGACACAATGGACAACAGCGACAACAATAAACAGTTGTAAAAAGTCATACAATTTTTTTTTTTTTTTAACAAATAGGATGGCAAAAAAAAAGAAAAGTAAAAAGAAATAAAAGTAACAAAAAACAGCTAGATTCTAAGGTGATTGTAAAAAACTAAAAACAGGAACATGTCTGCATTGGTCCCTGCCAGGAGTCCAACAGATTCTTAAAACCACTTGGAGAGGTCAAGGTCGAGAGCTTCAGATCTTTTTGTAAGATATTCCAAGAAACAGGAGCAGAGTAGGAGAAGGCCCTTTTGCCTAGTTCAGTTCGCACTGAGGGAACACTGCAGGTAATGATGTCCTGAGAGCGCACGCTGTAGCTGCACTCACGCAGAGACATGAAGGAGGAGATGTATGAAGGCAACAGACCAAGAAGTGATTTAAAGATGAAAATGTACAAGTGAGAAAGTCTGCATGAAGTTAATGATGTCCAGTTTATTTATTCATTGCACAATATTATGGACTGTACGTTCACAAACTGCGATAGAGCTAGTCCGCAAAAGTCGAACCGCAAAATAGTGAGGGACTACTGTATTTTGCTTTTTTTTTTGTCCATTCCTGAAGAGACAGTCTTTTTAGTGTCACCCAGACAAAAGAATGAATGAATTGCTGCCTAATGAACCTGAGAACTAATGTTCCTCATTCAGAGCTGTGTGTGGAACAAGTATCAGAAGGGTCTGATTTTATAAATGAGTTTTCAATATTAACAAACGTAGACGATTTAAAAAATGTTAACTTGTTTAAATGTCTGTTGAAAGGCAGACAAATTATGGTATGGTTTTCATCTGTACATCCATAAACTTTCTCTTGTCCCACCCATACAATCTGATCTGCTTGTAATTCAATGAAACTTTATACACATATGCATCACCACGAAACGGAGTGTCGTGCACACCTTTCATCACCCAGCTACAAAGTCAAGGTTAAAGTTAAAACAAGGTCTTTGCTTGTCCGGATCATAACTTTTGATCCACTGAAGATAATGAAATGAGCTTGATGTACATTTATACCACCACTAAGCATGCTGTATATGCTTGTCATCACTCCAGCTCTAAGGTCAAGGTCACAAATCAAGGTAGAAGGTTATACAAGGTATTTGCTTGTCCAGGCCATTGATATAGATTGCTGTATTGGTGTAAAATATTATGTTTATTTATATTTAAAATATCAATAATTGGCGTATAATGTGTCTTGTGCGGTACTCTTGTTTAAATCTGTTTTTTGATAACATGATACGATTGTTGACAGTGCAAAACTTTCTATTCTAAATAGAAAACAAAATAATACTTGTTTCTGAAAACGTTTATGGGCAGCAAGCCGTCATTACAGTGCACACTCATTATCCTAAGTCCCAGTGTTATGGAGGTCAGTTGTTGAAGTTAAACGATTGGTTCAAGAGTTTAAAACTAACTTCATATTTACGCTTACAGCTTGACGGAGGGATTGGATCATACTGACTGCAGAAGTCTCTCTTTTTAGACGAGTCTCAGTTTACCTAATAGGGTAGGAGGAACAAAAACAAAAAGCTGCATTTTTTTATTCATGTATATAGGGATGTGAAACTCAGCAGACCATCTTTCTAAAAACAAAATGTTTTGTCACCTAAAAAATGTTTACTCTGTAAAATCCCCAACTGTACATATTCCAAAATTGTTATATTTTGGCTTTGCGTAGTTTCACCAATGAGAACAAGTACGATGCCTAGTTTCATTTTCTCTGAATGGTTGTTGCCTATTTCTAATGAACTTTTTGTAGTGGGTCCCTGGCCTTTGTGATCATACTGTATTTTGTCTCTCTGTCCTGTTTGTCCCACATGCAGGTCTGGTCCAGCGATGCGTAATCATCCAGAAAGATGAAAATGGCTTTGGGCTCACAGTGAGTGGTGACAACCCTGTGTTTGTGCAGCTGGTCAAAGAAGGTAAACTCCAGTTTTGAATGTAAAAGGAGAAACAACCACATATAATAGTCATGACTGCTGCATTGACTTTGTTTTTTATTGTATTTCTTTTTGGGGGTGGGGGCCAAAGAGATATGACTAGGAATTGGAAGAATCTTTGCAGCTCGTTCACATTTGATACTTTATTTTTGACAGGATGCTGCATTTCCTTATTAGTAGTTTCAGTGAAGATGCAGCTTCTATTGTACATTAGCGATGTAGGACGCTTCTGAGGCCCTTTTTATTTCCAAACTGTCAGTAGAGGATGATGTAGTCCTGTTATCAGCTGCAGAAAATGCACCACATGGTCTGTACAGCGGCGGAGAGAAAAAGAAGAGGAAGGAACTGCTCAAGGACTTTTGTTGCACTGTCATTGATTCTGGGCAGCGTTCAACTGTCCTTTATGGCTTTTGTTGCTGGTTCAAATCAAAAAGTAATTTAATCATTCATGCATGAACTTTTTTCACTTTCTATTTAAAATATGTTTCAAATGTAGAAATGATCAGCGTAAGTCTAGTTTTACTTTTAAGGATCTGACATTCAATATGTCTCGACAGCTGGATAAAATCCTCATTATCAATCCAGTGTTTATGTAGAGAGTACTTCCTGTAGCTTGTGGAGCAACTGAAATGTTCTCTGTCAGAGTAATATGCTTACATTTAGATATATAAATGGGATTTATTCACCATTTAATAGCAATGCAGGATGTGGTTTGTTTATTTGATTTGTAAGAGTCAACACACAACAGAAAACAACAGCAAGTAATGCCAGTGACTCAGGAAATAAGGGAAAACCTGGAAAATAACTTTGACCTTTTCCAGATATGGTAAACTGGGAGTTTGAAAGAAAAAATAATGAGAAAACTCATTAACGCTGATCTGCTGATTAAAAGATCATCTTTCTGGGATTTTGATGTGTACATGTATTAATGCTAGTATCATTGAGTCCATATTCTGCTTCTACAGTGTACATAGTACATGTTTCCTACTAAATGGCTATGGTGGCTTTTTAGTATCTGGTTATACAATATAATTATTAGGAATGACTGATGAATGCACATAATGTAGGCTACAGTATGCTTGCTATCATCTCTGGGTGTGCCGCTGTCCACCATCTAAGTTCTCAGTGTCTCGTTTGAAATATCTCCTGGAATTTTTAGGATTTACTCGGAAAACTCAGGAAAAAACTCAGGGATTTGTGTTTTCATGAAACGCTGGGAACTCTGACCACTATGCTCTCTATTCTAATTTCAGCTAATAATCATAGCATTCTTTTTAAGGTTCTAGCTGATATGACTTAACAAGGGCTGTTTGAACTTGGGTTCTCATGAGGTAACGGGGACGTTTGTACAGTTCAGATGGGCCCATGTTTTGGAATTATTTTTATCCTAATGCTAGACTGAGAACATGTCTCTCCTCGTCATTAGATCATAGCTACAGTTAAGACTTGCTACAGCTAGGAGGCAATATTTGTGGAAATATTGCGCTCTTTAATGTGATTAGGTAACTCAGACAACACTGATCTGCTAGAAGCTGGCATGTTGTTAATCTTCCAGCACTGATTGTGTTGCACATTACATTAGATGAAGATAAGGGCAGTGGCTGCTTGCTGTGGCACATCTGTCCACAAGCTTGTCGATGCAGCTGCATCTGTTGGTCGTTGCTGCCAGAAGCCTCTGTGTTTTGTTTTGGTTTACAAAGTGCTACAGCTACTGCTGACTGTAGAGCCAGACGTGGCTCTCATAATAACCCGTCTACACGCCTAAATCCCTTTGTTTGGGGTGGAGCTGTGAAACAGGTCCTTCTTGTAATGTAACCACTGTTATGGGCTTTCAAAATAGTCACTTTGCCACATGTGGTGTGTCAGAGCAATATTGTGTTTGCACTGTATGGAAATATTAGCAGGTTCACCCTAAAGCAACATGTCTTTTAACTCTTTCACACCTCTTCCCCAAAATCTCTTTCAGTTTCCTCTGGTTTCCATCCTCCCCTTATTTTTCAGTCTATTGAGTTAAATCAGTTTCTTTTGTTTTCTTTTTTTTTTTTTTGTCTTTGTGTTTGCCAGATGGGGCTGCGATGCGGGCAGGTGTTCAGACAGGAGACAGGATCATTAAGGTGTTGTATTTATTTGCTTCTGTTTCTTTAACTGCAACTGTCCCTGGCCTTTCTGCATCCATGAAGAGGTTGAAGGCTGCCACCTTCTGGACATTTAGTCAATTGTTTTTCCACTATTTAGCGGTATATCGTCTCAAATTGTGGAACTGAACCTTGAATATTGTGTTTTTGGCATGTGAATTGGTTGATTTTATTTTGAAATGGTATTCTGTATTTTTCTTCCAGGTTAACGGGACCCTTGTTACACATTCGAATCACACTGAAGTGGTGGAACTTATCAAATGTTAGTTCCTTTGTTTATTTTGTTTTACTTCAAAACCACATTTTGAAGTTAAAAAAAGGATAATTCTAGTAATTCCCTTTGTTTTATTTTAGCGGGCTCTTATGTGGCCCTCACGGTTTTGGGGCGCCCTCCAGGACTCGCCCAGGTTCCATTGCCTGAAGCAGAACATGAGATGTTGGGTATCAGCCTATCCTCTCCAAACTCTCCAGCATTTGAACGCCCATACAGTCCACTGAACTGCCTCTCCTCACTACAACCCTGGGTACTGCTGATATGTGATACTTGTTTATTTATTAATTAATTAATTTGTTTGCCTTTTCTGTCACTTAATTGGTCCCCGTAGTTCATCCTGTTTCCTCAGTCTCATCTAAAAACATTTATTATGTTGTTCTATTCTCTGTCTCTCTTTTAAAATCTCTAGACTTCAAAGTGACACCTTCTCTTCTGAATTACATTGTTGAAGTAATTAAATCTGTTTAGGGGGTTAGATTTAAGTGTCGAATAAATGTCTGTATTTTCAACTTGTATTTTGTTTAGCTGCTTAGACGAAATCACATTTGATTTTTCCCCTCAGGATCTGAACAGCAGTGCCTGCAACCAGAGGGCTGATGTTTTGCAAAAGAAATTCTCAAAAGAACAGCAGGAGCTGCAGGTTAGCATAACAATGATCATTGCTTTCCTTTTTTTTTTTTTTTTTGTTTCAAAACTGTTTTAAAAATGAGATTTTTTTTTTTTTTTTTTTTTTTTAAATCAAGGATGACAAGCTTTGCTGTAGTTTTGACACAGTTATGCGTATAAATCCTCTAGACCGGGGGTCTGCAATCTGCAGCTCTGGGGCCACATGCAGCTCTTTGGTCCTTCTGCAGCGGCTCTTTAAAGCTTTGACCAAAACTAACATAAAACTGAATTTTAACGGTTGTTATACAAACGATAATAACGCTAGTTTTAGCCGTTTTAATTTTTCAGCGTTTTGGTCATTTCTTTTGCAAATATGCCATTACTAGAACTAATACAAGGAGTGAAATACTCACTTTATGTTTTATTTCTATACTTATTTTTTCAACAATTAAAAAAAATCACTTAGGTCTGCATAGTTCATAGTTTGTTTAAATAAATTTAAAAAAAAATGGTAAAAAAAATAAAATAAAACTTTATCTTTTCCTTCTTTACAATAATATGGTCTTTTATTTTGTTTTAAATTGTAAAAATATCAATAAGTGTTAAAAATTATTAGATATATTTAACTTTAAAATATGTAGCTCCTACTGGCCACAAAAGCCCCCTCCAACAAATGTAAAGCGGTCCACAGGCCACCACTTGATAATCACAGTTGTAGCAGGTTGTTGCGGCTCTGGACACTTTTAATTTACTGAATGAAGGCGTAAAAATGGCTCTTTTGATAAAGGTTGCAGACCCATGCTCTAGACAATTTTGCAATGTCCTTATTATTTAATTTCCATCTGGGATTAATAAAGTATTTTTGAATTGAATTAAATTGAATTAAAAAAAAAACTTATTGGATCATATTTAATGGTTAGGAAGCAGCTGCTTTGTGTACACTTGTTATGCAGCTCGTTTCATTTTGAAGTATTTACCTCAAATAAATAGATTACCCAGAGTCTACATATGTATTGGCCTACTGTTCCTGTTCTCCTTTTGATTACTCATCTCACCTTTTAGGCAATGAAAGAGAAATACAACAGGAACCCCTCCCCCAAACTACTGAAAGACATTCAGGAAGCAACAAAACACATTCCTCAGCTGCAGGGTCAGCTCTTCAAGGCCACAGGGACAACACAGGTACCAACTTGCAAATTTAGCCCCCAGAGCAGGAAATTCACAGACGGAGGTCTATCAGAAACACCCAAAGCAGTCTTTGTTTAATTTTATGTAGCACTTTTGAAGGTCATTCCAGACAAACATGAACCCTGTTCTCATCAGAGGATGAAGCCGCTCTTTTGTGTCTGCATGACAGCTTATTTTATTACACTATTTTGTGCCGTAATGTGCATCATTGTACTGGTTGTCTACAAATCACTTACATTTCACAATAACAAAACGTGATACAATGTAAAGGTCATACATTAATTTTTAGCCAATACTTGTTACAAAGCTTGTGTCTGTCTGTGAATCCACAGGAGGCTGTTTCAGGTGGAGATGAAGACAATGGTAGCATCATAGAGACAGATTGTGCACTTGCCCCTAAAGGAGATAACAGCACAGACCTTTCCTGGAGCAGCACTCCTGTAAGTTATCATAATATAAAGAAGTCTGAGCTTCTTACAGCTTGCTGAATAAATCACAGAGCTTCTTCATAGAGAACACCAGTCCGCATTTTAAAAGCATCTATTTATTCTGCATTTAGATTTAGGGCACTTTTGCCAGCTGCCCTTTAGTGTTTTGCAATTATTTAAAGACTATTAAAAATGTTCCATTTATCACCCAGGTATCTCACACGCTTGGACCCGTATCTCCTGATAGCCACTGTCCAAAAGACTCCTCTTGCGCCAGCCCAAAAAGCACTCCCAGGAACAGCTTCAACTCCTGCCACTCCCCAGAGGCAGAGGATGGAACTGACCTGGTATATTAACTCCTCTGATTGTCCTTACTCTCCTAACAGTAGTTATTCAGTCACTTCATTTGCTTGTGTATGTTGCAATTTAACTCTTTTATTCAGTGGTGTAGTCTACATTTTGTATTGAGTCATGTGTTTAGAAACCAAAGTACACCGGTTAGTACAATCTAATTGTCAATTTATTTTGATTTGCCTGAAGCACCTCCCTAGGAAGTGGACGATAATGGATGGATGTTTATATATATTTGACATATATATACATACAAGCATGCATATTATCATATTTATTATTATAAGTTATTTTCTTTTTAGTTAAGACTTCCAAAGTAAATTGGACAAAATATGAAAGTTCTTTAGGCTTTAA